GGTTTTTGTGTCTGCTGCATTTGCATGCAGACACAATGATAAGCTGTAAAACGCGCGACCATTACTTCATATAAGATAAAATCGCGGATTTTCTCATGACGTTTCACCGTGGATTCCATTTCGTGACATGTTACATGAAGTATTCTCAAAGTGTAATACTTTCGGTAGCCTGTAATACTTTCGGGTGTAATACTTTCGGGTTAAATTCGTTCCTCTGGGGAATATTGGAACCAATCGGATTTGAGAAATGGACAACGCCAACAGCTCGTGGCACACAACTAATTTCCGGAAAGACTCGGAAGCAATCAAATACGAGAAAAGGAAACGTCAACTTCGTCAACAACCATGTGCTTCCGTTCAGCTTTCGAAGGAAGAGGTCCGCCATCTTGTGGTATATTTCACGTGAGCTTATTGCAGTGTTTGTTGCTTGCTAGGTAAGTGATCTTTTCGTTTTTCATCTTTGTGATGGATTTCTTAAAGGGTATTTTGTCCATTTGCCACAGCATTCGCACTACTTGTTTGTCCGGCCGTGTGAAAGGTTTTGAAAGATGCTTTGAAGTTGTAGATCGATGGAAGCTTTCTTGGCGCCAACAGCATCACCACTCGGCGATATTGCGAGTGCCTTGGACACAAAATAAGCTTTATGAGCCCCATTTGGGGAAAAGAAAGTCCCTTCGGGGAATAAATGAGCCCCATTTGGGGAGAGAAAGGCCCATTACGGGAATTATTGAGCCCCTTTTGGGGATTATAAAGCCCACTGAGGGAAATATGCCCTGTTTAACCCGCTGTTTGGGAAATGAAATCGCCCCTAAAGTGAAAATACCTTTCACTGGCCAGACATTTGCGAAAGCTGTTGCAATTTTTAACCTACAAGGGAAGTGTAGAAGTACAATTCATGATATTTGTTATCTAAGGATAGTTTCTAACAGATCTTTAAAAACAGATGTAAGATTTGTTGTGGGAGCTTCCATTGTTGATGTACCGCCATCGAAAGAATTCCACAAACATTCCCCTCGGAAAAATTCCAAGTTCGTTAAACAAGTAAAACGACATAGAGACCGAGAGCCATCTAGAATACCTGTGAAAAAGGTCCTAAATTATATGAAAAAGAGAAAAGCTAGAAGCAAGCTAAAGTTTATTTTTAAGAAATGTACCCCTAAATCTTCAAGATTGTATGACTTGGTTACTCACTATAAATTGTGGTATATACGGTATTTACAAAAATGCAACGCTTTTATTACTTCCTTAGTCAATTTTAAAAGACTGGCAACAAAAAAGTCAAAAAAAAGAAAGCAAACTAGTAGCTGTTGTTCAGGTAAAATTAAAAAATCAACTTGCCCGGCTAAAACATATTGCGTATCAAGGATGAATCTTTTGAGATCAGGTGACGTTGAATTAAATCCAGGTCCCGAACAGAATGTGAACAATCAGACCAATTTGTCAGTGGATTCCTCAACATTGCTTAACTTTCGATTAGGACAGTTGGGATTGATAGCTTTAGATGTGGGTGGTGCAGGTGACTGCTTTTTTAAAGCCGTATCACATCAATTGTATGGTAATCCCAGTCATCACTTTCACATCAGACAAGCTGCTGTCCAATACCTCAGGGATAACCCTGAACGTTTCATTGAAAGCAACACTCAGAACTCATGGAATGGTTACTTGACAAATATGTCAATGCAAGGTACATGGTGTGATGCATTAATTGTACAAGCAGTTGCAGAATCACTTAATATACAAATTTATATTGTAGAATCTCACATAAATTTTGGACAGGCAACTTTAATAGAGCCACGCCATTCATCATCACAGCAACCAAGAACAATATATATAGGTCATGTAAACGAAGTGCATTATGTATCAACAATACCAAATAGCTCTTACTCAGGAAATGAGCACCCTTACAGAAGTCACAATAGTGATTTCAATTTTACAGAACAAAATGTTCTTCCTGAACAAGTACACAATAGTACTGGAAAAAGAAAACACAATAATTATTCCAATCTGAATGATGTTAGAATAACCACTAAGAGCAATGAAAAAAAAAGCAAATGGAATTCTTACATGAATTATTACAGAAATAACAGAAGGGCTGGTAAAAAGAATCAAAGCTGTGAACGTAACAGTGATAAACAAAGTTCACCCACTAAAGAGAATACAAATGCTGTATTTGTAAATAATGGTAGTCAAAAAAGAAAACACAATTATTCCCATCTGAACGATGTTAGGATAAGTACTAAGAACAGTGAAAACCATGAATGCAGATCCAAAACTCATGAGCAAAAAAATAAATGGAATTCTTACATGAATTATTACAGAAATAACAGAAGGGCTGGTAAAAAGAATCAAAGCTGTGAACGTAACAGTGATAAACAAAGTTCACCCACTAAAGAGAATACAAATGCTGTACTAGTAAATAATGGAAGTCGAAAAAGAAAACACAATTCTGATGTAAACAATTTAAGAATAAGCACTAACAGTAGTGGAAATGATAAATGCAAATCCAAGACACAGGAGCAGAAAAAAAACTGGACTTCTTACATGAAACATTACAGAAATAACAAAAGGGCTACTAAAATGAATCAAAAGTATAAGTGTAACAACAAGAAGCAAACCTCAACCACTAAAGAAAATAATAATGCTGAAAGTCAAAAAGAAAAAAACGAAAAAATACAAAACATGGCTGCCTTAATAATGAGGTTTCATGACATTGTGTCACAGGGCCCCTTATATATTTGTAGTTGTTGTGATCAGCTGTGGTATAAACACAGTGTTTACCCAGCTACTAAAATAAGAAAATCAAACCCTGCTGCTGAAAAATATCTTATAAAAACAAAAAGTGTCAACAATAAAGAGTGGCTATGTAGAACTTGTCATAATTACTTAGCAAAGAATAAAGTTCCACCCCTTGCCATATTGAATGGAATGAGTTTTCCAATAAAACCTGAATTTTTTGACCTCAATGAACTGGAATGTAGGCTTGTAGCTCCAAGACTTGCATTTCAAAAATTAATGCAAGCTCCAAGAGGAAGGCAATTCAAAATACATGGAAATGTTGTAAATGTCCCAGCAGAAGTAACTGATACTGTCAATATCTTACCAAGGTTACCCAATGATGCTGGTACAATTAAAGTCAATTTAAAGAGAAAATTGCAATACAAAAGCTCAGCATTGTCTCTCAATATAAGGCCACATAAAGTTGTTCAAGCAGCCAATTGGCTAGTTAATAACAGCACTCTCTACAAANCAATTCTTGAGAGCATTAAGAGGTTCACCACCATATTTTGAAAAGGCTAAGAAAGATTTGTTTGCAATGATTAGACAATTAGGACCATCTTCTATATTCTGTAGTTTTTCTTCAGCAGAAACACAATGGATACATTTCCTTCGAATACTTGGCCAGGTAGTTGATCACAAAGACTACACTACCAGTGAGCTTGAAAATATGACCTGGGATGAGAAATGCAGGCTTATTCAAAGTGACCCAGTGACATGTGCTAGACATTTTGATTATCAAATTAGTCAATTTCTCACGAACTTTCTTTTTGGTAAAGCTCAACCATTAGGCAAAATTTCTGACTGGTTTTACCGAGTAGAATACCAGCAGCGGGGCTCACCCCACATACACATGCTTATATGGCTTGAAGATGCACCAGTATTTGGAGTCGACGACGATGCTGCCGTTACAGACTTTATTGATAAAATAATTAGTTGTCAGTGGCCAGTTGATAATACAGAATTACATAAACTAGTGAACAGGCAAATTCACAGGCATTGTCACACTTGTAGAAAAAAGTCAAAGAATGAATGTCGATTTAACTATCCACAACCTCCTATGAGAGCAACTGAAATTCTTTACCCTTTAGAAGCAGACATGCCACAAAATAAAATAAAACAGCACAAAGACACTTGGAAAATAATCAACAAGCAATTAAATGATATGAAAGAAGGCGAACCTATAACATTTGAACAACTACTTGTCAAATTAAAAGTTACTGAAAATGAATATCGACTAGCTGTGAGGTCATCGTTAAATTCACCAACTGTGTTTTTAAAAAGAAAACCGAATGAGTTAAGAATAAACAACTATAATCCTGCTTCCCTCGAGGCGTGGAGAGCAAACATGGATATCCAGTTTGTACTTGATGTGTATGCATGTGCCATGTACATAGTTTCGTATATTTCTAAAGCACAAAAAGGAATGAGTGAACTTTTACGACAAGCATGTGCTGAAGCCAGAAAAGGAAATTCTAGCATAAAGCAACAAGTCCGAGACATTGGAAACAAATTTTTAAACAGTGTCGAGATAAGTGCACAAGAAGCTGTTTACATTGTTTTACAGCTTCCTATGAAGAAGTCTTCTCGTCAAGTAATATTCATAAATACCACTCCTCCTAATGAAAGAGTTCAGCTTTTAAAATCAATAAATGACATTGAAGAAATGGATGATGATTGTGAAGATGTATATACCAATGGTCTTTTGCAAAGATATGCAAAACGCCCTTTAAGTCTTGAATACTTAACATTGGCAGATTGGACTGCATGGTATGACTCATGTGGAAAACCATATGCAAAAAAATCATTCGAAAGAGATTCTGATAACCTTCCATTAGAAACAGCTGATGATGAACAAAATGACGATGACCTTTTTGAGGATAATCTCATCAATCCCAAAAGTAACAAAAAAAGATCAAAGGCTAGAATTATAAGAAGTGTTTGGTATAACTGTGAAAAAGATCCAGAAAAACATTATCGTGAATTAATAATGCTGTTTACGTCATGGAGAAATGAGGACACTGATTTGTTAGCTAACTGTTCCTCCTACCAAGAACGTTTCATAAATGTAAAAGATAGTATAAATAAGCAAATGAAACTATATGCTGTTTGCAGTGAAGACTTAGACAAAATCCATGAACACTTGATTCATCTTGATGAAGACAATGATCATTTTGACTCAATAGCACCATTTACACAAAACAGAGAATACCAGGATGAGGCTGAGGGTCTTCAAGATTTGCATCCTGATCTCAATGAAAACTATGATTTATCAGAAGATGTTGGAATTCCTTCAGCAATAGAAACTAGTGAACCACTGATACTAAATGAATTACAAGACCAAGAGTACAGACAATTGGTGCAAACACTAAATCAAAAGCAAAAGGAATTTTTTTATCATATCTTGCATATTGTTAAAACATCAGACAAACCATTCTACTATTTCCTCTCTGGAGGAGCTGGAGTGGGCAAGTCCCATCTGGTCAAATGTCTATATCAAGCAGCACTAAAATATTACAACTCCAGAGCTGGTGAAGACTTCAATGATGTTAAAATACTGTTATTAGCACCAACTGGAAAAGCTGCTTTTGGCATACAAGGTAATACAATACACAGTACCTTGGCAATTCCAGCAAGCCAGTCACTAAAGATTTATAAACCTCTTGACTCAAGTAGACTTAACACTCTGAGATGTAAACTTCATGCAGTGAAACTAATATTTTTGGATGAAATTTCAATGGTTGGCAATACTATGTTTAATGTACAAATAAATAACAGATTAAAAGATATTATGGGCAGCAAAGAACCATTTGGAGGTGTAAGCATGATAGCACTTGGTGATTTATTTCAGTTAGAACCTGTTATGGATGGTTATGTGTTTAAAGATATGAACAACTCAGAATATCGAGCTCTTGCTTCCAACTTGTGGCAAGAACTATATACAATGTTTGAATTAGAAGAAATTATGAGACAAAGAGAAAGCAAAGAATTTGCTCAACTTCTTAACAGGTTACGAGAAGGTAATCACACTCCAGAAGACATTGCAAAACTTAAAGAGAGATGCATTTCAGAAAATTGTACAAATTACCCTATCAATGTCCCCCATTTGTTCATACAGAATTCTAAAGTTGATGAGTTTAATAGGAGAGTTCACATGGCTGCAACTGGTGAAAAGTATACAATTAAAGCCTTAGATAGTGTTGTGGGTGCTAACTCTGCAGAACTAAGGGATAAGATCTTAAAGCAAGTACCACTTGATCCTAGAAAAACTAAGCAATTACCTTTAAACCTTCAACTTGCTGAAGGTGAAAGAACAGAAATCGCAGTGAATCTAAGGACTGATGATGGCATGACAAATGGTGCTGCTAATATTGTAAGGAAGATACAATTACATGACAAAAACAGACCTTCTGGAATAATATGGGTAGAATTTGACCAAGCACATGTAGGAGGAAAAACTAGACATGATTATAGGCACTTATTTGTAGAAGGTATTGAACGCTAATGGACTCCTATCAAACCTATCACTGCACAATTTGCAGTTGGAAGAAACAGAACAGCTCAGGTTGTGAGAAAGCAATTTCCATTGAGACCTGCAGCTGCTAAAACCATTCACAGATCACAAGGTGACACTGAGACAAGAATAGTAGTTAACTTTAACACCAGGAGAGCAATACCTCACATTCATTATGTAGGATTAAGTAGAGTAACAACTATAGAAGGGCTTTACATAACTGACCTTTGTGAGAACAAAATAGCTGTAAATCATGATGTTAAAGCAGAAATGCAACGCATACGGACAGAAAAGCATCTCCACTTTTCTTTAACTCCTATTTATGAAATACATGAACCTACTGTTAAGTTATGCTTCCTTAATTCAAGATCATTGCATAAACATATAGAAGACATACGCAAAGATTTGAACTATTCACATACTGATGTCAGTATATTCTCAGAAACAAGGTTATATACTTTAGACAGCAATACTGCATACACAATTAGTGGCTACAGTTTATTTAGAAATGACAGTCAATGCACAACATGTAATACCAGACCTTATGGTGGAACAGCTGTGTATAGTAAAATAAGTTTTATTCCTGGGTATCCAGTTTGCATGAACACAAATGGCGTAGAAATAACTATTGTAAAACTTGAAAAAATACCACAAATTACCATAATAGGTGTGTATCGGTCACCCAGAGTGCCTGTACGACAGATGTGTTTAGCATTAACTGAACTTCTGACTATGAACTGTTCCCAATTTAAACTATTTATGGGTGATTTTAATGTGAACTGGTTAAATGAAAAAGAGAAACTTCCTCTTTATAATTTCTTCATTAGAGAAAACAGCTACAGGCAATTAATATCATGTTATACAACTGACAACAGAACCACCATAGACCACATTTATACTAATTTACCTGAATCACAGGTGAATTTGCACATTTTAGAAACATATTTTTCAGATCATAAAGCAATCTGTGCATTAATTCGAACATAATTGCTGCTGTAGACAGCCGTCAATATTCTTGAAGCCATCGATAAATTAACCGTAAAAGTGTCAAAGAAACTAGAAATATCGAAAATAAAACTCTTTTGTGTGGTGTAACTGAGCTTAAAAGAGGATTCTGTTGCTTAAATGTTTCAAAAGGAAGCTTTAATACCACATCTGTAAATGAGCTCCAAGCGTCGTAACTTGGCCGGGTAGGATTAGTTATTTGCTTTGTATTTTATAAACAAATAAAAGCATGAGTTGACATCTGTAAATGAGCTGCAATCGTCATAACTCCAGTAGGATTAGATATTCGCCTTGTATTTTATAAACAAATAATAGCACTTTTTGTACGTAGTATTAAAACATGCAACTAACAGCAGCACTCATTTCTCATTGAGAACTGCTACATGTAGTTTAAATTTTCTTGTGTTGTTTGAGGTTGCTGTCTAATTTTGGATAGTAACCCTGAACGCTCTCTTTTCCCCGCCATTTGATTAAAACTTACAAAGGCAAGTATTACTTTGCTTTAAACATTACATTACAACTTTACATGTACAACGCAAAAATACAATTTCTTTAATTAAAATATATTAAAATTTATTATCTTGCTACAAAGTATTCATTTTAAATCTCTTTCTCTCAACAGCTTTAACATGGACAAAAATCATGAACTAACAGGATATCTCCATGCTGTATCGCCAGTGAAGAAAAGCTCAAAATCAAGCTACTTTGAAATGTTACTTCAAACTGGCTCTGATAGTACCGTTAGAGCAATATGCTTTGCCACAAAAAAACACGATGACCTGAAAGCCAGAAGTTCAAAAAAGAGCCCTGTGAAGCTCAGCAACTTCCAAATGGATCTTAAATCAAATACAGTACTTATGGACAACAAAGTCCGAATTGACGCAACCAAGGTATCATTCACACCAAAAGAAATACCACAAACAAATAACATAGCGTCACTCTCTGGTGTCCACTTCCAACAGCTGATAACAATTTAAGCGAAAGTTACAAAGATCAGTGGTACAAAAAAAGTAACTACAGGGAATGGAGAAAAATGTAAAGCTGAATGCTTCCTCAGCGATCCATCCGGAACAATAACATTAACTCTCTGGGAAGACAAAATAAATGAAGTCAGTGAAGGAAAAACTTATACATTCCATAACGTTAGAGTTATAAAAGAATACAAGTCTGACAAACTAGCCTTGGGCACAACGATGCATGACTGTACAGTGTCGGAAGCAGAGGACTTCATTGAATCCTTACCCCAGTCTGTTGAACTGCCTGATTCTTTTACAACCACAGAGGCCAAGGTTGAAGTCATTGGTCTGCTAACATTCGGAAAGTACCTTTCATGTTTACAGTGCCACAAAAAGGTAGCAGATGGATCTTTTACTGCCAAGATTATAAAATGTGGTAACTGTAATCTGACGCAAAAAAGAGATAAATGTATTACCAACTGTTTTGCACAAGTTAAAGTTTCACAAGATGACAACCAGTTCACTGTAACATTCTTCCAAGAACAAATTAAAAAAGTTTTTAATATCTTACAACGTCCACAAACACTGGATGAAGAAAAGATAACAGAAGCACTCTTAGATGCTCCAATCTTAAAAATAAAATATGACAATAAATCAAAGATCATAAACGAGGTATCTCCCTATATCATTTGAATAGCTGTTCATGTACTTCCCTCATCATTGGCAAAGGTTGAAAACAAAAACGTGGGAAGTGCAAACCTGTACAAACAAAATTACAAAGTTCTTTTATTAATGCCAGATTTACGCTCACATACAACCTGTAAGACAGTATACACAGGCAGAAATGCTGTTATAGTTTATTCCTATTAAAATCATTGTGTAAATGATTTCGATCAAAAAGTAACAATATACAACATTGAATGAGTGGTTCAGTTGCTATTAATTAGATTACACTTTATTGCAATTTTTTGGCAATTTCGTTAACTTTGAGTAGTTCCGTTACAGTTATTGCCCCTTAAACAGTTCTTGAAGTACCCTTAAGTTTCGTTACAGTTCATTACAACATAAATATACCATGTGGAATTACTAATGTTTAACAAAATAAGTTGTGTTAATAAAAGCAATTGAATTACCACATTGTCTTTGCCACTGTGTTACGATTTTTTCCGGTACACTTATTTCCATACCTTTATATGTTACATGCAGTTCATTTTGAAAAATATTAATGCTAATGGACATACAACATAGTGAACACAAGGCAAAAAAAAAAAAAAAAAAAAAGTGACATGTTCTTGCTATAATATTTTTGGGTCAAATTTATGTGATTGGTTATGTCCTTCATCTATGAACTAGACAGTTTTTCTTTCCCATGTTTTTTTTATTTAGTTACTTTGTCTGAAACAATCTACCTGGAGTGATTCAAGTGCAGCAATCATGGCTCTGAATAATTCGCAAATCTACAATGACTATCCAATGCAAGAGGTTGACCAGCTTCTTCTAGGCCATCTGCAGCCTGGGCGAATTTTGATATGATAACATCATAAACCATAGCAGCTGAAGTGTACAAGGAGGTAGTGAAGAGTGTTGCTGACCTAGTTCAAGAAACAGCAATCAGAGAGCCAATCCATTTTGATGTTCGTAGTATGCCTGGAGAGGGTTTAGCTAAAATTTGTCACATGGGCGCATGGGCGGCTCCCAAGGTTCTCACAAGTTATCAAAAATATGTTAGAATGAACATGACATCAACCAATGAGGCAACACGCGCATCAGCTATCAGACGTCATGAAATCAGCAGTCTATTGGAGGAATACCTGATAGCAAATTACAAAACACTGTCATCAGCAACTCAGTATCCCCAAACCCTAATGGTGACAGAGGACCGTCAGTTTCCCGACAGAGAACTGTCACACATCGAAGACTGTGCTTGTGAGTTTTTTTTAGAAACCGAGATTGTGAGTCAATTTTCTCAAAGATCTGTGGCTGGCTTTGCACCGTGGAAACGTTGTGGATCACACTGAATCAGCCATAAAACGGGATGCTAACCTTAAAGAGAAATGGTTGAACTGCTTTCCTCGAGAGGAGGTATGTATATGCCAAGTTTGTAAGTTTGCTTTTTGAAAGAAACATTTCATCTAGCTGCTGAGGTATCCATGATGTCCTAATAGATCAAGCAGATACAACTCTTATTTGGCTAACCTCATAAATTATTGTTTGGATTATAAAAGTACAAAATTTAAGTGGGACGTACAAGTTCTATTACGTAATTATATGGGTAAGAAATGTTCTGACTGCGTGACATGTTGTGTTACAGTTTTGATGATCGTTACTTTGCTTTCATGTTGCTAAGTGATTGAAGGATCGAATTTCGAATAATAATAATAATAATAATAATAATAA